TGTTGTAGCTCTGCTCTCCTGATTCCCACAGCACGGATCCTTCTTTTTTATTATACTCTTTCCTTGGCCCATCCCTTACCACTTATTTCACAAAGTTCTGTTATTTCCCATTCCACATAATTTCCCTTGAAGCATTTGAATTGTTCTCATGTCCTAAAGGTTGTTGGTGTTATTTAGTGTTGTCAAATTGGCTCCGACCCATAGCGACCCTGTATAGGGTTTCTGAGGAGCAGCTGGTGAGCTTGAACCACAGACCTTGCAGTTCAAACTAACTTTATGGTCCAGTGCATTAACCCGCAGCGCCACACCAGGACTCTGTTTTAAAGGTTAGATGAGTTCAAATTGACTTCATCTACTACATTCTTATTCCTTTCCTAAAGATCTGTATTTCCAAATACCCCAATGAACATGCCCAGGTGACACATGAACATCAAACTCAAATTCATTTACTCAGTATGTCCTCCAATCATACCTAATAACTGCAAATGCCACCACAAACCTGCTGTCTAGTTTTTACTATTAATAATACCACTTTTCTTGGTGTTTTCTGGCCAGAAACTTGGTGTCATCTATGAATTCTCTCCTTTTCTCTCCACACCCAAGTGTATAGCCCCACTTATTCTATTTGGAGCAGAACTTTGTCTTATTCACTGGGTTTTCTTGTAGCATCTTTGCTTGACTCTTGATTTGAATAGTTTCAAATGTTGTCTAATAACCAAAATATATGAGCACTTGAAATATCATTTATAAATTACTACCATAGGCTAAGGAGCCCTGGTAGTGCAGTGGATGATGAGCTGGGCTGCTAAATATAAGGTCAATAGTTCAAATCTACCAGTCACTCATTGGGAGAAAGATAAAGCTTTCTGCTCCCCTTAAGATTTAAAACCTTGGAAACCCCAGACAGGGCTGCTCTGAGTCAGAACCGACTCAGTGGCACACCTCCACCACCACCATCACCACCACCACAGGCTAGCACTGGACTGTGAACCACAAGGTTGGCAGTTCAAGGCTACCAGTCTTTCTAAAGGAGAATGATGAAACTTTCTGCTCCCACAAAGATTTCAAAAGCCTCTGAAACTGTATAGGTTTGACTTGACGGCACTCAACAACAACAACCAAAATTGAAAAGTATCATTAAATTTAATGACTATGAATTTTACCCATAGCATATTAACCCTTTCATGACCCATGAGACCTAAAGCACCTCCCTATATTTTTTTCTTTTGGGGTTTATTGGGCAGCTGTTTTCCCACTGATAGTGCAGCTGGCAGAAGGGGAGCCATGTAACCACTCAGAATGGAAGCAATGGGTATGTGCAGCAAATTACTGTTGTTACAGGCTATTGTATGAGGTGATACATGTGGAGGTGTGATTTTGCAAAATTTTGTTACTTTTAGTTTTTTTAAAAACTGGGAAATAGCCTTAATTTGTTTCTTTTCTGGTTCCTATGTGATATTTGCAAATTGCATTTCTCTCAACCATTCCATGTTTGCACAAACACCCCATTTTCAGGCACCCTTAATTGTATGCTCCTGTCAAGCGATGTAAAATGCAGTACAGAATCCACAGGACATATGTGTCCCCTTAATCCTAGTCCCCAAACTCAGAGGGGCAAGCGTATCCCATACAATTTTACCCCTAGAGTTCAGAGGGACATATATGCTTCACATAGTATTATCAAAATCCATATTTCATAAAAAATTTTTAGGAATTAAAAAAAAAAATACCTTACCTTCCATGAATGAAAATGTGGTATCAACAAAAGTTTCAAAGCAATAAATAATTGGGTCATGAAAGAGTTAAATCCCTTTGCTACTTTGCAAGGAAAATTTTATGGCTATCTTTAAATTTGAAATTAAAATAAATATGAGAAGACTTTTAAAAGTTTGTGGAAAAGGGAATTTTGGGAGCCCCCATGTACTTAATTGTAACCCTTTATTATGCCAACCTCTGGTTTCATGCTGTTACATTTCAAATACGTATAGCTCTCTTTTGCTTTCTTCTTTTGATAGAGTTTGGTTAAAGTTTGTCATTGAAAAATTGTAGTAAGTGAGTAATTCCTGATAAAATGCATAGCTTTGGGGTTTCTTTCTACAGGTGTTTTTGTGAATTTCAGTCTCTGAAAATTAAGTTGCTGCTATGAAGTGTTGTGCTACTGGCTAATGTGCTGGCCGGCAAGGTCAGTTTGAACCACAAGGTTGATGGGTCAAACTTACCAGCTGCTCCTTGGAAACTATACACAGTCACTATGGGTTGGAAATGACCCGACGGCCCTTAACAATAACAGATGTGATAAGACATTTCAGTTTTTTTGTTTTTTTTTAACTAAAGCAAAGCAAGATCTTACCTAATAGGGAAGTTTAGTTTTGAACAACTGGACACCTGACAAAGGTAAAGGCATATTCACTTATTTAAAACACACAAGACCTAACTAGCCTGTTATGCTACAGACAAATCCTTAAATTGCAGACATCTATGGAAAAGGTAGAAAACTAACAGTTCATCAGTAGGTTGGCATGTGACCACAGCAAAATTGTGAACAAAGCGGATTTTATTACCTGTTTGGACTGGACAAATCCTATGATTCATTGTGAGTTTGCTATTTTGCTCTGAATTTTTTAAAAGGTTAAACTGGGAAAATAAGATGCATTCCTTTCATTCTATAACCTATCTTCCGTTACTTGCTTATTTGCTTGATTGTTTTCTGGGAGAACTATTTACTCCTGAGAGCTGCAATTGATTTTGCCACTTGGCTGGGAAAATCAGGCACTGAATCCCAACCTCTTCTATACCCACCTCCTTCTCGAAGAGGCCCGAAGGGTGGACACTAAAAAGTAAGGTTAAAAGATGTCATGTGCAATAAATAAGGACTTTTTCTACACTTGACATTCTGCCTGACTGTTGGGTAAGCACTTCTTAGTGCTCTAGGGCCCATGATATTTGGTGCTACCCCATTCCAGTGATGGTACTCACCGTCTCCTACACGCCATCCCCAACATTGTGTAAGGGTGTAGGCTTGGCCCTGACTCACAGGGAAGAGGCAATTTGTATCCTGTGACTCACTGGTCCCACTTCCTGCTGGCATACTTGAGATTTCACTGAAATGCAACATCTGAAAGGTGAAGGTACAGAGATGAATAGGTGAACTTCAGATTCCCAAAACTCATTTGGAAATTATTCAGAAACAATGGTCTCTCAAGGGGTGTTGATTTTATAGCAGCATTGGAATAGAAGTTCCAACTGCTCGTTTTCGTTTGCACAGAATTCCTTCGTATTTTAGTTACTGTTGTTGAATGTGTCACTAGAACTGTTTTTTTGTGTGTTTTTTTGTACTTTTGTTTTGACACACTGACACCATCTAAAATCATTAGCAATTGTAGTGAGTTTTTATCTTAGTAGAGACCCTTGTTAAGGATCAAAAATTCAAATCTATTGCTTGCAGTTGGACACAGATAAGCCATTCCAGATAAATTAAAGACATGAAAAAATGGCAAGTTTAAGGACGTGTGTGAATACAAGTTCAGCATCTACCCCATCCCTATCTGATAATAAAGAGTTATGATTCTTAAGGGCAATCAAACCAAATCCACTACCATCAAATCGATTCCAAATTACAGTGACTCTGTATAGGGTTTCCAAGGCAGTAAATCTTTATGGGAGCCTCCCTTTTCACCTTTGGAATGGCTGGTAGATTTGTACTGCCAACCTTATGGGTAGCAGTCCCATGCTTATCCTATAGTGTCACCAGGTAGTGTTGTTGCTGTTGTTGTGTGTCATCAAGTTAGTTCCCACTCATAGTGACCCTGTGTAGGGTTTCTAATAGCAGTTAGTGGGTTTGAATTGCTTACCTCATGGTTACCAGTCCAATGCTTATCCGACAGCATCACACAAAGACTCTAAAGGGTAATGCTATTTAGTGCCATCAAGTCATTTCTGATTGAGGATGATCAGATGATTGAAAAAGTATTCTTAAGGATAATGTTTTGTTAAGTGCCATCAAGTCTGTTCTGAATCATAGTGACCCTATATAGGATTTCCAAGGAGCAGCTGGTATGTTTGAATGCTTATGCTATAGTGCCACACCAGAATAGGATGGTGGATATAAGCATCATCCAGTGATGGACTTTTTCAATCTTCTGATCACCCTCAATCACTGCCCCCTAATTTACAAAGGCTTAGGGTAGAGAGTCCTGATGTGGGATAAACACTGGACCATGAAGTTGGTTTGAATTGTAAGGTCAGCAGTTCAAATCCATCAGCCACTCTTTGGGAACCCTATAAAGGGTCTCAGTGAGTCCAAATCCACTCAATGACACTGGGCCGCAAGGTCAGTTTGAATTACAGAGCCACCAGTTCAAATCCAAAAGCTGCTCCTTAGCAAGCACAGCACTGATCAACAACAGGGTAGAGGTGGAGTCCCAGCATGGCGCTGTAGGATAAGCACTAGACCGAAAGGTCAGTTTGAACTACAAAGCTTGGTGGTTCAAACTCACCAGTCACTCCTTGGAAACCCTATATAGGGCCGCTATGAGTCGGAACTGACTTGATGGCATTTACCAGCAGCTACAACAGAGCAGAGGTGAGTTGGAGGGAACTTTGAGAATCAATGCTTTAAAGCAATAGAGCTGTGCATACAAGCACATTTAGAACTAATTTTGCTGTTTTACTGTTTACATGTAAGGAGCTCTGGTAGCGTAGTGGTTACGAATCGGGCTGTGAACCTTAAGGTCAGCGGTTCGAAACTACCAGCCATTCTGCGGGAGAAAGATGAGGCTTTCTACTCCCGTAAGGATTTACACCCTCGGAAACCCTGTATAGGGTCGCTATGGGTCAGAACCGACTCGACGGCACTTAACAACAACAACAACAACTGTTTACATGTATTTAGTTTAAACACTTTCCTGTGAGAGGAACATTTAAAATGATTTGCAATATCATCTATAAAATGCTCAGCTGCTGGATTAAAGCATCAAGTCTCATAGAAACCATCTCGAGTGATGGACTGTGTCCAAGGGAGCGTCACAGGTAAAGAAAGCCCAGTTTTCATGGAGGCACACCCTAGAATGAACATTCTTTAATTAACCAAGACAAATATTTTACTTGTGACCTGAAAAACTGGAACAAAATTTCCAACTATGGGAAAACCAATAATCACTTAAAAACTTGAACAACAACAAAAACAGCAAACAAAAAGACAAACAACACCTCAAAACAATGAGCTAGATTCTATAATAATAGTCGAGCGATTCCAAATAGGAAAGCCTGGCTTTGGTTTCTGCAAAAGATCGAGAACTAGTTGATCCTTTCCTAGTGGGAAAGTTGATAATGTCTCCTCCAAAGCTTTTCCTCCATTGAAAAATCATGAAGGAACCAGGATGCCAAGGATGTAGAATGTGTAATTAGTAGTTACTCCTATATTCAAGGAGACTAAGTTAAGTCATACTCATAGTGATGTAATAGGACAGAGTAGAATTGCTCCTTAGGATTGCTGAGATTGTAAATCTTTATGGAAGCAGAGAAACTCATCTTTTTTCCTGCAGAGCCGCTGGTGGATTCAAACTGCTGTTGGAATCGACTCTATAGCAGTGGGTTTGATGTAATGAATCCTTGGATGGTACAAATAGTTAATGTGTTTGACTGGAAGTTTGAGTCCTTCCAGAGGTGCTGGGGAAGAGAGTCTTGGTGATCTACCTCCAACATTTCAGCTACTGAGAACCCTATGGAGCAAAGTTCTACTCTGAAACACATGGGTTTATCATGGGTCAGAGGTGACTGTATGGCAACTGGTTTTCTAAGATAAGTTAAAGGGCTTAATTCTTCAGTAGTCAAAGAGCTTCTAAATTATATTGAGAAGTAGAAAAAAAATAGTGTGGATGAAAATTAACTCACCTGTAAAAAAAAAAAAAAGGTCTGTGTAAAATAGTAATCCTTTAAAACTCTGTTCAACTGAGAGGTGAAATAAAGACTTTAGCTATGTATTTGTTTATTTATTGTTGTCTTTTTTAAGATAGATGATTTTTAAAATATCGATAGCAGCATTTGAAACAGCATTTACACTGGAGGAGAAACATGGACTAGGGAGTAGACAGTTGTAAACCTTGAAAGAAAACAGTATCTACAAATCATTGACTGATTATCATACTTGATGTCAAAAGGCATATTCTTAATTCTTGTCTCCCGTGGCCATAGATTTTGATCTTAGACAACACATTTCTGCACTTAGGTTGTCTGTGACTAATAATTATTTCACAGAATTGTTTTGTCAAGTTTAAGATGCTATAAAAATATAAACCATGATGCTGATGTGTAATTTAGTTTTTAGTACCCCCAAAGTACACAGAAGTCTTGGTGTGGCACTGTGAGTCAATGTGTTGGACTGCAAATTGGTTTAAACCGCAAGGTCGGCAGTTCAAGCTCACCAACTGCTCCTTGGAAACCCTATACAGGATTGCTATGGGTTGGAACCAACTCGATGGCCATTAACAACAATACAGTACATAATCTACTAACTAGCCTCTTTGAGAACTAAATAAAATCCTTATATTGCATGAATTAAAAAGCCTTTTAAATTACTAACGTACAAAGAAATGTATAATCTAGTGATAGACCAGTAGAGGGCACCTCCCACATATGCTGTAACTAGAGGCTAGAAGTTGAAATGCTACACAGGTGAGTGTTACAGAACATTCTGAAAACCTCTGGCATGTCAGGCAATTCAGAAATATACTATTTTGTTTGTTGTTGTTGGTAAGTGCCGTTGAGTTGGATCCACTCCTAGCGACTCTGTATAGGGTCCCTAAGGAGCAGCTAGTAGATTTGAACTGCCAAACTTGTGATAAGTGTAGTGCTTATTCTATAGTGCCACACCAAAAAATGATGCTGGGAAGTTAAGTCATTTGTACAAAATTCCATAATTCTAATGATCTCACAAGATTGCCTTTCCATTCGATTTTGCTGCCTCCCTATGGGGCTTATATACTCTGCTTCAATTAATTTTACCTTAGCTTATTCATCATAAGATTCATTGTACTATATAGTATTATTGGAGTCCTGGTGTGGTGCTGTAGGATAGGCAATGGACTGTTAACCATAATGTTGGCTGTTCAAACCCACTAGCTGTTCCTTAGAAATCCTATACAGGGTCACTATGAGTTGAAATTGACTCAATGGCATATAACAACAATATAGTTTTATGCCTATTTACAAATTCTGCAATGTGGCCCATTAACAATATAATTTAATACTGCTGAGAAATTTGCTTAAACTCATATACCTAAGAGGGGTAATAATAAAATCTTCATCACAGAATTATAAGAGTCTTAAATGAGATAATATAGATAAGGCAGAGATAATGATGCCTGGCACACAATAGTGTTTAAGAAATATTAGTTTCTGCTAACTATCACTACTACAACTATTGCCACTACTGCCATCATCATTAATATTTATTATATAATAATAATTGCTAATATAATTATTTATGTAATAGCTACCTACTTACAGTATCGCTATGAGTCCATACCGATTCGATGGCACTGAACAACAACCTATTCATAAATAATAGAAGTCCAGGTGTGGCATTGTAGGATAAGCACTGGACTGCTAACCAAAAGGTCAGTGGTTCAAACCCACCAGCTGTTTCTCTCAAACCCTATACAGGGTTGCTATGAGACACAACCAACTCAATGACACTTAACAACAACAAATTATAGAATGAGAAGCCTGGTGTGACTCTGTAGGATAAGTACTGGACTGCTAATCATGAGGTTGGCAATTTAAACCCACTAACTGCTCTGTGGGGAAAGAAGAGGGTTTCTGCTTCCTTAAAGATTTACAGTCTCAGAAACCCTGTATAGGGTTGCTTTGAGTCAGAATCGATTCAATGGCAGTGAAATTGCCCATACACACACTCAGGTATAATAGAAAGAGTGGTTGAAATGAATACTTACATCTAAGGAGCCATACTCTCTTAGGAGTCCTGGTGTGGCACTGTGGGTTAATGCGCCAGACTGCAAAGCCATTTGAACTGCAAGGTTGGTGGTTCAAGCTCACCAGCTGCTCCTTGGAAACCCTATACAGGTATGGGTTGGAACGGACTCTACGGCACTTAACAAAAACAAATACTCTCTTACATAAATATGTATGCAATTAAAAGGGCTCCTTTTATCATACTGTCTAGGTAATTCAGAAACGACTTGAGTCATTCTTATGTCTGTTTTCCAACGTTTATCTCTTCATTGGTGACTAGTAATAAGGCACCTAGAAACTGGATTCTAGAGCTAAGTGTAGTTCATCAAGCATGGGTGTCCCTTCCCATATTAGATAAGATACATCCTGGTTTTACCTAGATTACACTTTATTAATTGAAGTCTATTTTAGTGAGTAATACAATGCAAAGGACAGCCTAAGTACTAAGTCAACTAATGATTGAATCCTAGGTTGAACTTCCTGTTTAGTTGTTACCTTGAGTGTAACTTGATTTCAATTTGAAGTCTTTTAGTGTGTATGTGTATGTGATGACTTTGCCTTGGAGCATTGTTTGACAGGATGATGCCCCAAATAGCAGAATTTCTCAAAATCAGATCTTAAAAAAGATACATTCAAGATATTTAGAAAAGGTGAAATCTGTAGTAATGACTATAATGTTAATGATTTTATTCTTGGACTGAGGAACTAGGGATTGATTCATTTGCTGTTACACTACTGCTTCCATTAATTCTTTTCTTTCATAGGTTTGATGGATTTAAATTCTTCAAACAACAAGAACAAATTTATAAATACTCCAGTTATGTACAAATATGATCAAAGTTGCTTTTTCCGAAACATTAATGATATATTTTATTTTTGTCACTCCCTTTCCCCGAAAAATAGGTTTCCATCTTCTCCAAGCTGTTTTAAGTACAACTGTGATCCCATCATGCATTCCAGGAGAATCCAATGATAACTGCACAGCTTTAGGTAAGCCCAACTTTGTCAATATTGCATTAAAGGATTACACTTTTACACTTTTTTTTTTTTTTTTTTTTTTTTAATAACACTACTATCCTGGTGTGGCATTGTTGGCTAAACACTGGACCACCAATCGAAAAGTTGGCAGTTCAAACCCAATAGGCTAGCCATGCCTTAGAAGCCCTATATAGGGTCACTATGAGTCAAAACCAACTGGAAGGCACTTAACAATAACAACATGAATGTATGACAGTGCAAAAAAACCAACAAAAACAAATTGCTTTTGTAGTATAACAAAGGAATTTGTTTACTTCCTCATCCCTCATGAGGACTATATAAATTATTTAAAGGAAAAACTGGTGTAAGAGGCACCCAGTATCTAGTAATATACCCAGATTTTATGTTAAGAGAGAGGGACGTAAGAAGATGAAATTTCTCTTAACTATTCATTGGAAAGTGCTGTGACATAATCATAGAGGTCATGCAGATGGGCTGGATTTCAGCTAGAACAGGAATATGTCAATTTTATACTTGGATGATCTCTTTTTCTTATTTAAAAAAAAATTCTGGTTTTGGTAAGAGAAAGAAACGATGCAATTTTTCCAATCCCGTTGTTCATTCAAAAATGTACTTAATACATGCCAAATATCATCCTTATGGTTAAGTGTTGTAGAGTCGGTTCCAACTCATCGCGACCCTGTATAGTGTTTCTAAGGGACTGCTGGGGGTGTTGAACCACAGACCTTGCAGTTAGCAGTCCAGTGCTGCCGGGAGCCAGCCCCAGCAAACTTATTCCAGGGTTTTTCCGAAAGCGTATGCGGCGTCGGCTGATTACGGAGTCATAGGCCATAATAAATTCAAAATCTTCTCATTACATGCTTTATTATTATTATTTCTATGGCTACTCTAATACTCTACTTCTCTCATTCTTTACTGTCCCGCTCATTCTTTACTCCCCTGCTCT